CTCGCTAAAATATTTGAAAGTGCTTCAAATGCTTGACAAATGTGATGTGTTCGAAGGAATGTTCCAGCTTCGCCAGATCCTGCCAAATGCACAGGCAGCTGTTGGGTTGAGAGCCAGGGTTCTGGATGGCAGGGCCAGTCTGCCTGGAATGGTAGCTGGAACACAGTGTATGTGCTCACTACAGGGTCCATCTCCCCACACAACTCTGAGGACAGAGTCTATCTCATGTCTGAGAAAATACATGCTGTATTTATGTGTGGGATGATGGAACAGAGCTGAGATTGGCCGAATTAAAAAATCTTGTTTCAAAAACCTCATAGGCATGATCTTTTTTACTCCCTGTAGTATCCATCCATCCATCAACCCACCCACCCACCCACCCACCCATCCACCCACCCACCCACACATTCATCCATCCACCCACTCACATTTGTTCAGTCCACCATGGGACAGACACTGTGCTGGGCACTGGGAACACATAAAAGCAGCCCCCCCTCCCAGTTCAGAGGTACTGGGAAGTACACACACCTAGGGGCTTCAACAGAGAAGCAAGCAGAGGGACAACCCATTCGATCTGGACATGGAGAAGGCTACACAAAGGAGGTGATGTTTTTGTGTTGGGCTTGGAAGAGTCTGAGGCAGACAGTGAAGCTGAGAAGAGGAAATTCATATTCAAGAGTGATCTCTTGGTGTGAAGGGTGGAGGTGTGGCAGGAGAAAATCGTAAGTCAGACCTTGTCACTCTCCCACACAAAGTCCCTCAGTGCCTCCCCATATCACTAAGAATAAAAGCAAAAGTCCTGAAAACTACCCAGGAAGCCCTATCTGATGTGCCCCGAGGCCTTCAGACTTCCTGCTCCCTCTGCTCCCGCCACACAGGCCACCTTGCAGCTCTCCAGGGCCTTGTGCCAGTCCCCTGGGAAGGAGGGCTTCTCCCCACATCTCCACCTGGCTTGCGCCTTGCTTCCTCAGATACCACCTTCCCGGTGAGGCCCTCCTTGCCACGCTTTCCTGATACCCTCTATCCCCTTCCCTGTTTAATTTTCTCCCTACCTATTACCACTAGCCACTACCGAATGTATTTTGCTTATTTACCTTTGTTTATTGTTTGTCTCTTCCAAGAAGAATAAAAGTTCATGAGAGCAGGAGTTTTTGTCCATTGGTTCATTGCTGTACTCCTGGTGCAAAACTAAGGCTTCTGGCTTACTTGGAAGGTAAAGGGAAGCCATGGACGTTTTTAACTAAGAGAGGAGGAGAACTGGGTCTGTGTTTTCTAGGATAGTAACTGTTGGTGACAATGACAGAATGGTGGTGGTGGTGGTGGAGGAGGTGGGGGAGACTGGAAGCAGGAAGTTCCATGAAGAGGTCACTGCATGAGGGGTTGACAGCTTGACATGGGGCAGTGGCAGTGGAGAGAAAGAACAAAATATCAGAAGGTGAAATGGCAGGGTAAAATGCATAATGCTGATTGTATGCATCAATACCAGAAAACTGCTTTTTGCGTTTGCATTTCTCATATACAACAATCCATCAGTACAAAATCAGCTCTAACCTTGGTGCAAAGAATGGTTCTGAACCTTGGCTGGCAGAAAAGCAAGCTGGACTGCTATGCTGAGAATGTATTCAGGTCAGGCTGCTACTAGGAAATTTGTAAGACGGAGCTGGTTTTTGTCACAAATCTTGCAAGCAACCTTCCTGTCTGATGTGGCTCCTCCCTGTTCCTCTCAGTGTCACATTTCAGTTATTTATTTATTTATTTATTTATTTATTTATTTATTTGGCTTTAAGGCTCTCAATCAATTTGAGCTTGTCCTTCTCTCCTTCCTTTTAATCCACTCCTTTTACAAAACTTGCTAACTAACCAACCAACCCAATGTTTTACAAAGATACGTCTCCTCATACCTTCTGCCCTTCATGTGGTCACACCTCACATACTCCATTCTAAGTTCCTTCTCTGATTCTTACTTTGGACCTTCTTTCATGCTGGGCGAAGATGCCTGGAAAGCTTTAAAAACCCGTTTATAAGTCACAGCCCCTCCCTTGACCTCCATCCTCACCTAACAGCCAAGTACCTTTTCTCTCTGTGAAGGTAACACAAGGCCATTCTCAGGTATGAAAGGAATCAGAAAAGTGTACCGCCACCAACCTTTCTTGAAGAAAGAATGACTTGAGAACACACTCTAGCCAACTGAGCAGGTACTACGCAAAGACCGAGGAATGGAATCATGGTGGACAGGGACTGGGAGTCTGGCTGGGTACCACCCACAGGCAGGAGGACTCGGTGCCGCAGAGAACGCCTGCCAGCAGCACACACTCGGCCACCCCAACAAACTGCAATGCAGAGAGGAAGGGCCTTCCTCCCACAGTGACATCTGGATGAAGCTAATGAAACTGTCTGTTCCTTAAGAACTGCTCTCCTTCATTAAGGTAATGATCCTATAATTGGAATCCTTCTGCAAAAGCCTCTCCCTCAAGAAGAGTCTACTGTGAGGTTCAGAGTCCAATTAAATCTGATTAGAGCCATGTTATAAAACAAAAACAAGAAGCACCATGGAGAGGACCAGGCCTGGGAACAGGTTTCTGTGGCTTTCTGAGGGTGAGGGGCAGCGCATGTGCTTCCCGGGGCGTGCAGAGGCCCCTCAGGATGGGCTCAGTCAGCCCTTCCAGCTCTTCGCCTCGCAGCCCTCTTCCCAGACTCATCTCCAGCAGCTCCTGAACTGGCTGGCACCTCCTCCCAGGCCTCCGCGCCTCTCCACATGCCCACCCTTCTCTGGGACTCTTCTCCTTCTTCGACTCGACTGGAGGAGGGAGCCCTATTTGCCTTCTTCTATGTGAAGCCTCCCAGACACAGCCCCCTCTCTCTGCCACCCTCGCAGTCAGGTAGCTATCAAAGCCCCTTGCGTATCAGCAGCTGCCCATCCTATGTAGCTGTGCATAACAGAGTGGGCTTAGTTCTCATTTCAAACTGCTCTGCCATCCTCACAGGATGCGGAGTGAAGGGCCCCTTTCAGTACCTGTGGTTTGCAGATCCCTGCATCGGGTGTCCCAGACCCCACTATCAGAATGAAGCTTTGGGGCCACAGTGGGCAAATTCAAGTAATCCATCCCTTGCGATGACTTCCTCTAATAATAAATGAGTAACAAAAAGGAAAGATTTCTTCCTGGATTTGAAGCGTATTTATTCATGTGACCAAAAGCTCTGTGGGTGCAGGGATTACATTTAGTTCTTTGCTCACTGCTTTATCTGCAGCACCTAAAACAGTGCCCCACTCCACTGTTTAATCAGTTTGCTGAGAATATGAGTTCTTATTTGTACTTATTGCCCAGGTATTGCAAAGTGCCCGGCACAGCTCACGTTTTCTGGCGCTATGCTGAACGAAGGAATCCCAGTCTAAGTGTAAAGCGAGGCCATTTTCATTATGCTAAAACCAAACTTGATCATGACTCTCCCTCCCACGCACAGCACACACCTGCCTTCCTTCTCCAGGCCCCGCCCCCACCCCTTTGTCTGGGCTTCTGCGCTACCAGAGAAACAAAAAGCAGCTCGTATTACTGGAAGGAAAGGCTTCAAAGAAATGCAAAGCAACATTAACCTTTCCCCCTAGCTGCATTTAACACGGGTGATTATAAACCTGGGGGGCTCAGGGAGAAATGAGTGTAAAACTCAGACAATAAAAATTGAGGGGCCTTCACATCTGCAAAATCCCCAGACCTGCACATTTACCCCCTCCAGCAACTACTCAAAGGAGCCCCTGCTGTGCTCCAGGCCCCTCCAGGGCAGCCCTTTCTTCCGCTGGTGGCTCCTCCCACTTGTGCACACCAGGGACAGCCACCGCAGGGGCAGCAGTAAAGCCGACTTCCAAGCAGCTCTAACCGCCCAGTGCTGGCGCTTTGGAGGCGGGGCATTTCTCAATTTTGACTCTGTGCCAGCCTGGCTCTCCCAGGAGCGTCGAGGCCACACCAACCCAGAAAGAGAACCTCTTTCCCTCTCTGCATTTGGAAGATGACCAGACACAATCCGAAGAAATGAACAAAGGGATTACAAATTAATCTGGGCCCACTGCCTCCTCTGACTGCAAAGATACGATGACAAATCCAGGATTTGCAAGAGACCTCCATTCCTCATTAATCTCCACTATCGTTTTCATCACTGCTTTTTTTTCTTTTTTCTTTTTAAGGCAGGGAATGAGGGGAGCTGTGTTCTTTCTTCACTTGGCAGTAACTAAAAAAAATGTGTCCTTAACATTTCAGAAAGCAGATCGTCCCTGCACTAGAACCACTAAAGCGTGGAGGTGAAATGGCACGAGTGTCCTTTAAGTCACCATTTGTCTAAATTAATGAATTTAAGCGTGAATAACCTGAACTTGGGCTTTCTTTGGAGACCATGAATCTGATTCCCAGGAAAATTCCAGAACAATAGACTCTCCAATTGCTTTACGTTATATTTGCTACTGCATAGCATATTTTGACTGTTTCAAAATGTGCAGTGAGTGGCCTCCAATTGCGTTTCGCATGTGCCTCTCTGGCCATCTGGAGCCGGGCCTGCTGAGAGAACGGGGCCTGGCATCTTCCTGCCAGCGTGGCTCCACGGGTCAGTGCTACAGAGCAATCAAAACGCAGTGGGGGCTTTCTCCTCTCTTTCCCAGAAGAGTCTGCAAACTAGTGGAGCAGAGGTTCTGCCAGTGACATTTCTGCTCTGGGAGACGCAGACACAGTCCTACCGAGAGAGGAGAGATTCCTCAAATTGGGGTGGACCGAAGCGCTCATACCAGCTGCTAATACATTAATCCTGGCACCCAATTCTTGGTGGCTGCTTGTCTACATACCACAGTGGCTCCCAGTTCTGTTCCTCTCTGGCTCAGTACCTGTCCATGTTATTCAAACTCATGCTCAGCAGGAAGGCGAGGATGGGGCTTAGCAGGCCAATTGGGTGAGGTTTCCCCAAATGGTGTTGAAAGAACATCCAGTCAGAGGCCCATTTCTGCTGGGTCCTGCGCTTACCTGGGTAGGGCACTCTTCCTTTGGTGACCAGCTCTGTGAGTAAGATTCCAAACGACCACACGTCGGACTTGATTGTGAACCTCCCGTACAGGGCTGCTTCGGGGGCCGTCCACTTAATGGGGAACTTTGCACCTGCAGAAAGAGCACCTGGTTACTCATCAAACCAAGAGCATCCCACCGAGTATGGGCTGGGGAGGAAAAGCACTTGGAAGCCGCTTTCCCAGGAGCAGGTCCACAGAGAGGACGGGCAGGAGGTGAAAGCAGGAATGAACCAGGACTAGTCCTGGCTTTGTGACTGCAAGCAAAGTCAGTTTAATTTTCCCATCAAAGGGTTGCACTTCAAAGCACCTTTAAGCTCTGGCTTCTAGAACTTGAATCTATGGCTACACTGAATGCCATAGGTTTCGTCTGGAGGTGAATCTAACTTGTGAATTAGGAAGCCATACACACACACACACACTGCTTTGGAATAATGTTACATTTTAATAACTATACATGGCATTGAATCATAATGCTACTCTCATGAATCCTTTCATATAGAAGACCATAGTTCTCACCTGGTGCATAAAAACCAAACCAAACCACCATGCTTCTCCCAGGGTGGAGACGATTTGCTGCAGCCCTTGTGCTATGGGCTCCACCTCCGTAAGGCCTCTCACCACAGCAGAGAAATGATTGACCTCCAGCTGCTTCCCTCCGGTCCCCATTCCCCGAGAGCAGAGCGGCCCTCTTTAATTCTGGGACAGTTTTTTCTTCCTGGCTGTGAGAGCCCTTGCTGATCTCCCTACCTCTCTCCTGCCTGCCAGAGAGGCTACTCTCTAATGTTTGTCTTTTTAAAGAACAGCCTTGCCTCCATGACTGTCTTATGAGTCTCTGATTTCTCAAGACCAAGGAGCAAGTTTCACGCCTAAGCCAGTAGAACTTTTTCTTTTAAACTTTCCCAATCATGAAGAGAATCCTCTCTCTAATCCAAAAGAAGGGCAGGTCCCCCCGGCTCTTTACGACTCCATGTGTGTGCAGGGAGTGAACGGACCCGCAGCCTGTGCTCTCACACGGGCTCAGCAACGATAAAACGGCTCCACGTGTTTCACTGAACAAGCTAAAAGGAAAACACGAGGAGTTTTATTTGGTATAAACGCAATTATATGTTTAAAGCCTGTTAACTTTACTTAGGAGCTCCTAAAAAAATCACACAAAGGTTAAACAGAAATTTCCATAGTGTCCTCTATAAAAAGTCAACAATGTGCAAAAATGGCAAGTGATTAAAATCTTTAAATTAATATGGTTTTAATAACCAGAGGTATGATAAATTATAGCAATCAGATTTTTGTTTTAAACACAGTATATGATAACATCTTTAGCAAATCTAACTGGAATTTTCTGGCAATATAATTTTCCTTTCCCATCTCTTCTATGTCAGTGTGAAATGAAATTTAAAAAAATCCTACTATTTCATTATGTGTCATTTCACATTAATACTTTTTTTCTTTTATGCACTGCACTATTTGTGATTAACTGTTTGTCAAGCATAATTATTTATCTCTGTCCTTAAGGGCTGCATGACTCCACACGAGGCTTGGTATTTTCTGAACAGCCATTAGTTTTAAAAGTTTCTTTCAAAGTATTCTTCCCGTCCTTCCTACCTTTAATCTGATCACACAGCTTTGGACTCTGAGCTGCTGGGATTAATGGAATAGGTTTCCTTCAGTGTCGAGAGCAGATTTTGCCCTGGACCAAACTTCATTTCAGAGAATTAAAGGTATATTAAATTCATTCCTATTTAAACCATCTCTTGAAAATCTATGTCCATCTCTGAAGCAAACAGAATGCTCTTCTCCACCGTGCAGACACAAATCCTGTAAATAAAACAAGCCAAGGAGCCTTTCTTCCCTTCTTGAAATCACTGACATTGGAGAAGGTGTGTGTTGCTGAAAGTATACTATTCAAAATTTGATTAAAGGCATTCTGGATTTTCTGGGAGAAAATTTCATAATTTCAGATTAAAAAAAATCCCAGATTTCAATATATCAGCCAGGTGTACTAGTCTGCTCTATTTTCTCATTATCATATCTACAACAAGAATCATAATATATAAAATTTCAAAAAATAATTTAAAACAAAGGCTGTAAAGAATCTCTGATAGGAAATGATTTGTAGATAGGTGTTTTGACTTATTAACAAGAGCTCACTTAAATTTATTTTGTACTAGTTTTCTTTCTACCTAATGTATTTATATCTAATACAGTTTGGAGGGGAGAAAATGAAGGATGTCTTTGTTCAATTTCTCTTATTTCTTTTCCTTCTTAAAATAGCAGGAATGATTGACAAAAGAAGGTTCTTTAAATATAGCTAATATTTTCCTTTTCAAGATAAAGATTAATAAATTAAAGCCGCTATAAGCTGTCAATCATTGATGAATGTCTCAGCAAAATAGAGTCTATGTTCACTTTTTTATTCATCTCATTACCTCGATTTCCCCTCATCATGTTCCCCCCTTTCCTGAGGACACGGATGTAGCTCCAAACAGGGGAGTTCACCTGGCGTTGGGGGCAGGTGTCTTTGTAAACGACCATGCAGGTTGCACATTGCAAACCCCAGTCTATGAGAACAACGTCCCTAAGACTGTCCAGTGAGCACCTATGTGAGCCCACGGGTGGCCCTGCTGAGGCTGCGGTGGGTTCTCTCCTTGTCTGAAGTTAGGGAAGCTCAGGCACCAGGGAGGAAGGACTCCTGGGTGCAAACAATGCTTTTCTCCTGAAAGTAAAGGTCTGCCCCCTCAGATTTTTTCCCAGATATCGTGGCAGGCATAACGTCAGGATCAATGTTGTCTTCTAAGCAGTATGGATTGTGGAAAAAGAGGAGATAGCGTCAGGAGACCTACACTACCGTGAACTTGGTATTGATTCGCTCTTCTTGAAATTCTCCGTTGGGGGGAGGGTTCAGATGCCAACACAATTTCCTCTCCTCTTCACTTTATTGGCGGGAATGTAGCAAATTAAGCAGGTATGATGAACTAAAAAAATAAAGGAATTACTATCACTCTAGCTTTTATTTTTTACTGAATTACTGTACCGGTAACAGTTCAGGCTTCTTTTAAGCCAAGAGACAAGGCCATGGGTGATACATAAGCATTTATGTGTGGACTTGCCAGTTTCCACATTTCACTGCCTCCCACGGTAAACTCATTGCTGTCACTGGGCCCACGTCTGGAACCACCAGAAAAGTAGATAATCTTTGTCCTTTAGTTGCTTACCTCCCTGGCATAGTACTGAGGACTGGTTAGCCTAAGTCTGAATCCTTTTCTATAGTGATAAAATACTAGTGTTTCACACAGTTTCTCTAAATTCTATTCTGTTTCTCTAACTTCTGTTGAGATGTGAAGTGAGTGGTCATAGGCTTCATGTAACAACAGGATCCTACTCACTCTCTTGGCTTCAATGGCTCTTCTAATTCCAACGACACCAGATGGGACCTCCCTCCCACGTTCCCGACCTCCTCGACGTCTCTGAAGGGCCTCTCAAATACAACATCCAAAATTTATCTTCCCCACAATCCTGCTTCTTTTTCAGAGGGTGCCGGCCTGTAAACTGCCTGGTTGATGGGAGCAGCATGCAGACATCCTCCTGGTCTGGGTGCTGTGTCTATCTGTCCCTCGAGGTGCACGCAGGCAGCCGCACAGAGCCCGCCTAGAGAAGGAGCTCAACACATCTTCACTGAGTCACCTTTGCCCCTGCTGCTTTATCATTCTCCACATGGAGTCCACGTCACTGTCCTCACGCTCATCCTCGCTCGCTCACTGTCACCTGCCTGGACTCCTGCAGTGGCCTTCCAACTGGGCCCCCCTGGTCTCTCCTCCCCACGCTCTGCCTCTTCTATGATCCTGGGCCTACCCTCCTTTGCTCTCCTGCCCCACTCCCAACCTCTATGACCTCTGACTGCTCTTAGCCGCTGCAGGGCCATGGGACAGGCTGTTCGCTTTGTCTGAAGTCCTCACCCCACTCCCAGCCCATGGCTAACTCCTGCTCCTCCTGGTTACCTGCACAGGGAACCTTTGCCTCAGCACCAGGACCGGGAGAGGTTCCTTAGCTTTTCGCTGCCAGAGTGTCTTATTCTTTGTAGCTATTACTATTCAAGTGCAATCAATGTGTGGCAGGTATCCCCACCTTCTTAAACTTTGAGCTAACACACTCTGCTATTATGGGAGACCAACATTAGTCCCTGTTTTCCCTAACCAGAAGAAATCCGAGAAGGATTTTCACTTTTACCAAAAAAGGCGGAAAGCGAAAATAGCGAACCTGTTTGTTTTGCCGTGAGCGTTTTGGAAGCAGCGCACACCCAGAGCAGCAGGAGCGGCCCCGACAAGCTTCTTGCCAGGGAGCTACGCTCAGCGTCACGCCGCCTGAGCTCTGAGCTGTCTGTGAGCACCTGTGCTTCTGTGCTTCATCTCCATCGATTTTGTGCATCCGTTAGCAAGATGTGTCCCGAGGTGACTGCTTCTTTGCTTTACGCCTACACATGGCTTCATTTTTTGACAGTGGGGAACCTGGAGCTGCCTGAACTGTGACTCCCCATAGATACTGTCCTTGAGAGCGGGAGCGGGTCTTTTTGGATGGCCACCATCGCCCCAGGACGAGCCCGGCGCCCGGTGCCCGGTGACCAGGAGCAGCTAGATGAAGAGGTACTGAGTGAACAGCGGAACCCCAGCTCCTTACAGCGCTCATTACCAATTTCCTGCTCTCTGGTGAGGCCTCCTCTCCTTGTCCTCGGTGACCAGCTGGGAGCCCTTTTAAGAGGCTAACAACTGCCAAGTACAGTAGAAAAAGCATCTGTCACACACTACTGACGCTGAAAAACTCCTGGAAAAGCCTGTGTTTTTGGTGCCAAATGAAGTGTTTAGATGCTCTTTGGGTCCGAGTGAGACTGTCTGAGGTGGAGGGAGCCCCAGACTTTGCTCTGTGAAGTCTGCAGCCAGGGGGTGGGGTGGTTGTATCAGTGGAAAGATGAGGTGGCCAGAGGCCTTGGGAGTGCTCACAGCAAAAGAAAGCAGGAAATCCTTTTCTTAATAGACTAGGGTGAAAGCAGGTGACTGGACATCGATCAATCAACCCATGGGGCCATGGTCTCTCCCATTT